CCCGGCCCTGCTGCGGTGCCAACCGGCCCAGGCTGCCCCACAGCCGTCCTTGCGGCCCCAGGCCAGCTACGGGGTCTCCCTGAGCATCTCACCTTCTTCTCCCGCCTGTCACAGCTGGCAAGTCGTGCTTCCCGAGAGAGGCTGGCAGCCCTGCCCTGCAGCGAGCTGCCACCACCCAGAACAAAGCACCGCGAGCCGGTGCCAGTCCCTCGCCCTTCAGCACAAGCAGACACAAAGCCAAAGCCCATTCTCCATTTCCTCTTTTTCCTGCTCCCCACGTACTTCTCCAGCCTGCATCAGCCCTTTTGCTTATCCAGCTGTATCCCATAGTTTTCGCAAAAACAGGGTGTGCACTGTGCCTCTCCTCCACTCTTCCTCCCTACTCCCTCCCCCGGCCACTGCTGTCTTTTCACACTGCCCGTGCAGCGAGGAGATGCAGCTCAGTAGGGTTCAGCTTTCACCACAGATGCTGAGGACACCAAACTTCCCAGACCCTTTGCAATTAGGAATCAACCACCTTCCAGTATAGCTACCCAGACAGATCCCCAGCCTGCAGAGCAGCAAGCTCCACAACTTTCCTCACCCTGAGGGAGGGAGCAGGGCTCCTTTACTTTGGATCAGTGAAAACAACACACCAATTGCACTCACACTCTCCCCTTGGACCTCACCACACGGAAAATAAAACTGACGGCTTTAGACGGTTCCTGCCAGTCCTTATGCACACTAACTTCTGGTCTCCTGATCCTGGAAAGTGGAGAAAGGAGTCCCTATCAACTCTGAAAATCACCCTCCTGTTCCATACCCCACAAGCTGAGGCACTTGATGGTGAGAAAAACCCAAGGAGAAAGTAGCCTTTGGCAGCTGGAGACAGGAACACGTCCTCCCATCGGGGCCCATGATATGGACCAGAGCGTATCCTGGCTGCATTTACCATCCAGTGCTCTGGGTTGGCAAATGCCTCTTCCAAAAGCATCCATGTAAATTTTATGGACCCTTCCCTGTTCTCTGGTGTGCTTCGGAGATCTATGAGAAGTGGTAGAGAAAGATGATCACAAGGACATCCTACTCGTGCCTGAGCTCAGGTTCACCATGCTGTGTTGCCTGGGTGGGCAGGGATGGTGGGTCAGCTCTCGGAAGCAGCACATATGTTGTCCTGGTCCAGCAGAAGGTGTGGGCCAGGGCATGGCTCACACATTATACCTGCATAAGTGCAGCAGGACACGGGGACAGTGGGGAACATGGCATGTTCCTCCAACCCAAGGGCTGCATTCAGCTCCCCTTATTGGGGCAGCAAACCTCAGTGAGGTGTAAGTGAGGGTTTTCCCTTTCTTCATAATCATCTGTGATGGAAACAAGACTGGTTTGTCAGGAGCATTCCCCGATGCCAGCCTGAATATGTCCTACAGCTGCACAGGCAGTTTCTCCCCTTGGCCAAGAAACACCCTGTGTTAAGGAGGAACTAAAACCAGAAACACAGAGGTTACAGATTCCCTTGCTCAGTGGGAACAGAAACTCTCAGCCTCAGGAAGCATCCCTCCAGAAGAGTGATGCAAGTCCCTTGCTTAAACCCCCTTCTCCCAAACCAGCACTGCATACATATGTGTGACTGATGTTAACCAGAAGTGTGAAAAATCCAATAATAATTATAATGACTGGAAATGGTAGCAGTGAGGCTCTGTGGAAGCCTGCAGACGCCCAGAAAGACCAAGACCAAAGCATTATTGCAAAGTACCACGCCTGGGTGCAACCAGCCTGGATGCACAGTAACCCAGGGGACACGTGGTGCTGACACAAACACCCGCTTGAAGTGACAACCTGGGCTCAGATTCCTCCCTTTCCCAATTCCTAACTGCTTCTCCCAGGGGAGAAGACAACAATTGTTTCTTCTCTGAGAAGTGTAGGACTGCCGAGGCAAACGAAGGACGTCTTGAGGAAGATGGTATGATGCTATAGATGAATCCCAACTCAGAAACTCTGGGATTTCAGCCCCATCCCTAGCTCTGCCCTGCGTGACACATCTCATCTGCAGGAAGATGAGAGGCACAACAGGGGTCCTTGCCTCCACTTGGCCTCTTCCCCAAGTCTACATGGTCTATACATACTTCACCAGGACCCAAACCGAACACTGATGGTTGTTCAGCCAAAGCACACTCCTGGAAACAGGATGCTTTCTCAAGCAAGAGCCTTCCCCTCCTCCAGAACTTGTCTAAAACTAAATATAGCCAGGATATAGCAGCCTCTGAGCCTCCATGGTTGCCAAGCAGAGCTTTGCCATGTTAGCCACATGAAACCGATGCAGGACTTCCCGAGCACGGAGGTCTCTCTGCCATCGTTCCTGACTTTCCACACACTGCAGCGAAGGGAACTCAGCTCCAGGTTTGAGCGAACTGGCTGCAATCCACTGAGCTGCACTCCCCCAGACTTTGCTCCCTGGGAACCCAGTGCAAATCAACCCACACCACACAAAGACGGTTGAGAGGGAGGCATCTACACATGACAGCACAAGAAGTAAGCTCAGAGGTGTTATTACTGAGCAGAAGCAACTGCAGCTCCCCTTGCAGGATCCCTTCTCTGAACCAAGCACACACATAACCAGTGTTTAAGGAATAAGGACAGCTTTATTCTGCTGGAAGAGGAAGATACAGAGGGCACCTGGGGAAGAACTCCAGCATATCTTCCCAAAAGGAGAGAGGTGGTGCACGGGGGAAGAATCTCCAAGTGGGTGTTCAGAGCCCCACCCCTTACACTTATTTGAAAGGTATTAATTACATTACATATTTAATTCGTATTCACTCATGGCCTATAGCCAGCTGCTCAGCTATTCTTCAAGAGTTGACTAATTCTCCAATATTATTATGCAGATTATCCCACAATCCCTCTTGGGTAGCTCTGATCAGCCAGTGAATTATGACTTCAGTGAGAAAGCTGGCAGACACTGCCACAGTTCACCACCACGTGAAGGCACCAGGGAGGACTTGGCTGATGCTTTCAGCCCCAGGTTTGCTGCAGCAGACGGGGCAGTGGTGTGTGCTTCTTCCCCTTGCTGGTAAGCAGCAACCCGTAAGTCTTGTGCATGCAGATATACTAAAACTCACTGAGAACAGTCTGCCCATCCCTGGGGAGCCTGGCACTGCAGAGGGATGTCTACATTGAACTGCTCACTTGGCTCCCAATAAAGCAGCAGGGAGGACCTCCCAAGGACTGGACTAGACACCGAGCAAAACTGACATACAGCAGAGATAAAGCGGTCCAGCCCTGAAGAAATACTGAGGCCGACGGTCCCCTCAGGAGCAAGTAAAGGGAGAAGGGCTGTGCCAGAAGCAAGACTGAGCAGGAGACCCACATGCTGGGCTCCAGTGTGGAAGGAAGAGAGGCACAGACTTCTGCCACTGCTGCAGGCTCCTCGCCCTCAGCCTAGACACTGCTCACCATGAGGAAAGTCCTCCCCACCGGAGCAATGCCCTTGGCCCACAGCAAATGCTACCAGTCAGGAGCAAGGACAGGCTGCAGCAGTCCCACCCCACCAGGGAGAGAAGCCCAAATGTTATCTCTATAGACACCACCACCATAACACCCATTCTGTAGGATCTGGATGTGAGCTGGCCTGGCAGGGGCTGTCGATGGCTTTGCATCCACAGGAGCCTGGTTTGGGTGTCCTCATCACATGCTTGTGGATGAAGCAGTCTCCAGTTTTGGTATCTGGCAGGATTTTCTCTACGATCACACCAGGAACCGCTGGGATGCCTCATGTTTCTCTGATGTCCCCTGCAGTGTGGTTCCTTTCA